CCTCCTCCTCCTCCTCCTCTCTTCCTTTTCCTTTTCCGTTTCCTTTTCCTTGTGAATAATTTCTCCCTGGCGCACCCCGAGGCCAGTTTTTAGAACTGGCCGGGCGGTTTGCCTGAGACTTCCTCACCATTTATGAACCTGGATCATTAAAAATGACAACAGTTTCACAAATGGAGGGCGGGTGGTTTTCAAAATGTGGCTCGCGCCGGGCACATTCATTATAAAAATGTGCAAGGGTCTCACGGATTGATGGCGGTTGGTTTTCAACATGTGGCTCTCGCCTTAGCGCCGCGCTCATTCGTTTTCAAGAAGTGCAAGAACTTCACGGATTGAAGGCGGCTGGTTTTCAAAATGTGGCTCTCGCCTTAGCGCCGCGCTCATTCGCTTTCAACATTTGCAAGAATTTCACGGATTGAGGGCGAAGGGTGTTCAAAGTGTGGCTCTCGCCTGAGCGCCCCCACATTCGTTTTCAAAATCTGCAAGAGCTTCACGGATTGAGGGCGGCTCCTTTTCAAAATGTGGCTCTCGCCTGAGCGCCGCGCACATTCGTTTTCAAAATGTGCAGTTGCTTGTTTCACGGATCCCCATGATCAGCATAGCAAAAATGCTGCGCTCTTTGAAGGGCGCAACAGTTACGTTGATTCGCTGCGTTGAAGTCTCAGGAATGGTGTTCTGCCGCGATTCACGATCGTCCAGACGCAACAGTCAGGTTGATCCGTGGCGTTGGAATCCCGAGAACATTGTTTTGGCATGCCTCAGGGTCTTCAAACGGATGTCTTCCAACAAAGCAGCTCCCTCAGTGGAAATGAAACGTTGTAGGGGCCTATGAAGAGGGAGCTTGGAGGGAGGGTTTCTTCCAGCATCGTTGATGCCTCTTGCGTTTCCATTGGTCCTCCTCCTCTTCCTCCTCCTCTTCCTCCTCCTCCTCACCCTCCTCCTCCTCCTCCTCCTCCTCCGAATCCTCCTCCTCATCCTCCTCTACTCCATTTCCTTAGAAATAACTTCTCCCTGTCGCACCCCGAGGCCAGCTTTTAGGGCGGACCGGACGTTTCGCCTGAGACCCTCACCATTTATTGCCCTGAAGCTTCAAAATTGGCAACGGCTTCACGGATGGAGGGCGGGTGGTTTTCAAAATGTGGCTCGCGCCTGAGCGCCGCGTATATTCTTTGTAACAAATTGCAAGCGTTCCACGGATTGAGGGCGGTTCTTTTTCACCATCTGGCTCTCGCCTTTGCACCGCGCACGTTCGTTTCAAAATCTGCAAGAGCTTCACGGATTGAGGGCGGTTCCTTTCCAAAATGTGGCTCTCGCCTGAGCACCGCGCACATTCGTTTTCCAAGAATTTGGAAAAGCTTCACGGATTGAGGGCGGGTGGTTTTCAATATATGGCTCTGGACTGAGCGCCGCGTACACTCGTTCTACAAATTTGCAAGCGGATTGAGGCGGCTCCTGTTAAAAATGTGGCTCTAGCCTCAGCACCGCGAACAGTCTTTCATAAAATTGGCAAGGGTTTCACGGATCCCCATGATCAACGTACCAGAAACTGTGTTTTGAAAAGGTTCAGGATTATGCGGGCGCAACGGTTACGTTGATTCCTGGTTTTGAAGTCCCAGGAATGGCGTTCTTGCAAGATTCAGGCTCGCCAAGACGCAACAGTCAGGTTGATCCGTGGCGTTGGAATTCCGAGAACAATGTTTTGGCATGCGTCAGAATCTTCAAACGGTTGACTTCTGGCGAGGCAGTTCCCTCCGTGTAGATGAACCATTATAGGAGCCTGTGAAGATGGAGCTTGGAAGGAAGGTTGATTCCAACATCGTTGATGACTCTTGGGTTTACACTGGTCCTCCTCCTTCTCCACATCCTTTTCCTCCTCCTTCGCCTCTTCCTCCTCCTCGTCCTCCTTCTCCTCCTCCACCTCCTCCTCCTTCGCCTCCTCCTCCTCCTCCTTCCTCATCGACCCTACCCCTCATCGGCCATACTCTCAACTTCTCCTCCCGGGGCAGCTGATTGGGGGAGGAGGAGAAGAGGTGGTTATGGACGGTTGCACGGCTTCGCCCCTGACCTGAGCCCTCGTCATGATATGCCCCTTTCGGCGGCGCGCCTAGGGGGGAGGGAGAGGGGACGGCCTTCTCAGAAGGCTCAGAGGGCCTCGGGCTTTCTGAGTTGCTTTATCGGCCTTCTCCGAAGCCCCACCGCCTTCTGAGAAGGCCTGCCCCCTCTCACTTCCCCGCGTGGCACGACCGAAATAAGAACGAGCAAACGCACGATGCCCAACAACACGTGATGTCCAAATCCGACAGCGGCCACTGTCGGGCAAACGACTCTTGTCTCGAATGGACAACTTCCGTGGCAACGCCGACGGCGAATCCTGCTCAAAATGGACAAGAACTGCGGTCTGTCTTCGCCTTTGCCTTTCCAAGTTCGTGGAAAGTGGCTGTCACACGCACTACCTGCCCGCTGCCGTAAGGCTACTAAGATGACTAATAGCACACACACACACAGAGACACACACACACACAGACACACACACACACATGCAAGAACAAGACCTCGAAGGGGAAAACACGCCGTGGTGATGCCAATCGCGTGCTCGAGCGCCAGACGTAGGTCAAACAAAAAAACATGATAACCACCCCGACACGCGAATTCGTGTAGTAAACGCGCCCAAAGAAGAAATCGAACAGGGCAAGGCTTTTGATAAACGCCCAAGGCCATTTAGATAAAAACGCCAATTGGCTGGTCCGGGTGGCCTTCCTCCCTTACAAGAAGCTCCGCGACAAAAACCCAGGAGAAATTGCCCCCCTTCGTTCCCTGCACGCTCCGACGGCGTGCCGCCCACCCCCGTCGGAAGGGGGCGCCCAGCGACGGCGAGGGCGCGCGGGCGCGTCCTGTCCCAGCGCTGACCGGCGTACTGCTCGCCGTAGCTGTCCTGGGGGGGGGGGGCGAGCGGAGGCGCCCGCTGTTCTGACGGTTGATCGTTCCTCGCTCGCTTTGCAGAGACCCCCCGCCCCTCCGGTGCCATTGGAGGTGCCCCTTCTGGGGCTCGCACCCTCTCCTTCGCGAGGGAAGGTCTTGAGGCTCAGACTGGGCCGGTGGCCGCCGAACACTTCGTTCCAGTGAATGCAGAATCGCACCGTCGCGCGGAACTCCCTCACAAGCTGTCTCTTGCGCGGGGACGCCCTCGCAACTCAGTGAGACACCGAGGCCTCGACACTCAGGAATCACGCTCTCGCCCTGGACGTCCTAGCGATTCCCCTGGGCATCGAGCGATCCCTCGAGACTTCCTCGCGACGAATGCAAGACTCACGCTTCAACGACCCGCCCGCTCGACCCAGCCGTCGGGCCCCGCCCGCCCGACCCGCCCGTGAGCGTCCGCCCGTCCGATCCGCCCGTCTGGTTCTGCTGCTCGTACTCCTGCTCTTACGCCCCCTCCTACTGTTCTCTCTCGTGCTCCATCCTTCTCCCTCCCCCTTTGTCCCTTCCCACCTCCCTCCCTTCCGCTGTTTCAGGAGCTGAGCCAACTGCACATGGGAGGTAAGAAAGATACATCCCCAAGGAGTGTACGATCGAAGCCGACGAGGGCAGACATATGAGTGTATATGTATATACATATATATACATGTTGCATGGCAGAAGATCAGATGAGAGCGCTCAACCTTCAGATGGTTTTGTTGCTGTCGTCGTCTCCCGCGCGACCACCCGCGAACCACCCCGCGGTCCACCCCGCGAACGATCCCCGACCCAACCCGCGACCCACCCCGCGACCGGCCCCTCGCTCTTGTCCACAATGGCAGGGCGCTGCGTACCATGCGCCCTCTTTGGAAGCGCACGTCCGAGCTCAACAGATGGCACACATCTATCATGATACGTCGCTGCTCGGGCAGTATGGCCAGAAAGCAGTCGCCCACGAGCATCTCAGAGTGAGGGGGGGCAAACGGTCTTACAACATCCCTGGGCGCGTGCGCGAAGTGGGAATGCGTGGCCCAGAGGATGCTTGTTGGTGGGTGTTGCTGGTATTGTGTTGTTGTTGGTGGTGGTGATGGTGTTCGTGTTGGTGCTGTTGTTGCTGTTGTTGCTGCTGTTGTTGCTGCTGTTGTTGGTGTTGCTGCTGTTGTTGGTGTTGTTAGTGTTGCTGCTGTTGCTGTTGTTGTTGTCGTCGGCCTACCCGCGCCCCGCCGCCCGCGACCCACCCCGCGACCCATCCCGCGCCCGCCCCCTCACTCTGATCCTCAGTTGCGGGGCGCTACGTATCATGCGCCCCTCTTGGAGGGACACGCCCGAACTCAGCAGCTAGCACAGACCTATTACAACACACCGCTACCCAGGCGATATGGCAAGAAAGCGCTGCTCTTAGGCTCCTGAGCGCGCGCGGGTCGACCACACCGTATACAGTCGAGGCGTTGACCTAAGGAACCCTAAATAAGGAACGAGGCCCCTTTTTCCATAAGTTGAACTTCGATTTCGTATCGAAAACCTAAGGAAAATCCAAGGCAAGCTGCGGAACAATCAAGGAACACGGAGCCCCTCCCCAACGAAAAGGGTTCCTTCTGCAGGGCCCCGACTGTACACATGATTGGGCGCTGCCGACCCCCGGCGGCCCAGCGGGGCAGCCCAGACGGAGGGAAGAGCTCGAGCTGCGAACGACCCCAGGGGCCCCTCGATGAACAGCAAGAGGACCCCATTACCCTCTGGGAGGGGACCCGAGTTAGGGGGGCCAGAAACATTAGGGACAAGGGGTCTGTTCCGCCAATGTGTCGGACCCAACCGCCCCGATCCATGCTCCACCATGCAGAGACGGGGACCCAAGCGAGGCCACGTCTTCGCTGCGGTGTTAAGGCTAGGGTTTCTTGTCTTGCCGAGGACCCCATGGCACCCTCGCGCCGTGAAAAAAAATCACGACGGGAGGTGCCTGGTGGTCCTCGGCCTCTGTGGGCCCTCGCCGGGCTCCGGGACACTCCACCAGACGAGTCAGCACTGCAAGACCGGCCCCATGCAGTGGAGGCCAGTCCACAAGAAACCTTCCTCAGGAAATCCAACCCCGAGACCCCAGGACGTCCATCGATGTCTGGTGTGGGAACGTCACGCGTTCCGAAGGCCGCCTCGGATTACTAAGATGAAGTGCGGGCTCCGTAGGGAGGAGGCTCCCGCTCGAGAAGTCCTCGCGATTCACTCACAGACGACGTTCCCACTCTATATTTCCTCGATATTCAAGCTGCAGGAACCCAAAATCAACGACAGTTACAGGTTTGCCAATGGCCGCCTCGGATTAAAAAAAAGAATTGCGCGCTGGCCCCGTAGGGAAGGGGGTCCCGCTCGTGACTTCTTCGCGATTCACTCACAGACGAGGCATCCTATCAAGAATTCCTCATGATTGAAACATTAGGAGCCCAGAAGTGATGACAAGTATAACTTCCTCCCAACCCTCCTTGGTTGTGTATTCGTTTTGAATAGAGGACTGTGGTCGCATCCTCCCGCCTCCCTCCTGCCTCCTCCTGTCTTGCCTCGGGGGGGGGCTGCGATCTGTGAAACTGTCGCCACTTTTGGAGGCCTGCTGGGAGGTCCAGCACAGGGACGTCCTACGCAGATTCAAATTAAACCTCGCCATCCCTGGGGGGCTGTCATCTGTGAAACTGTCGCCACTTTCGAAGCCTGCTGGGGGGTCCAGCACAGTGACGTCTCACGCAGATTCAAATTAAATCTCGCCATTCCTGGGGGGCTGCGATCTGGGAAACTGTCGGGGGTCCAGCACAGTGACGTCCTACGCAGAGTCAAGTGGGACCTCGCCACCCCTGGGGGGGACTGCGATCTGTGAAACTGTCGCCACTTTCGAAGCCTGCTGGGAGGTTCAGCACAGTGACGTCCTACGCAGATTTCAATGAAACCTCGCCATCCCTGGGGGGCTGCGATCTGTGAAACTGTCGCAACTTTCGAGGCCTGCTGGGGGGTCCAGCACAGTGAGGTCCTACTCAGATTCAAATGGGACATCGCCAAATGTTTGGTGGCTGCGATCTGTGAAACTGTCGCCACTTTCGAGGCCTGCTGGGGGGTCCAGCACAGTGACGTCTTACGCAGATTCAAATTAAACCTCGCCATCCCTGGGGGGGTGCGATCTGTGAAACTGTCGCCAGTTTCGAGGCCTGCTGGGGGGTCCAGCACAGTGACGTCCTGCGCAGATTCAAATGGGACCTCGCCATCCCTGGGGGGCTGCGATCTTTGAAACTGTCCCCACTTTCGAGGCCTGCTGGGGGGTCCAGCAAAGTGACGTCCTACGCAGATTCAAATTAAACCTCGCCATTCCTGGGGGGCTGCGATCTGTGAAACTGTCGCCACTTTCGAGGCCTGATGGGGGGTCCAGCATAGTGACGTCCTACGCAGATTCAAATGGGACATCGCCAAATGTTTGGGGGCTGCGATCTGTGAAACTGTCGCCACGTTCGAAGCCTGCTGGGGGGTCCAGCACAGTGACGTCCTACGCAAATTCAAATTAAACCTCGCCACCCCTGGGGGGCTGCGATCTGTGAAACTGTCGCCACATTCGAGCCCTGCTGGGGGGTCCAGGGCAATGACGTCCTTTTCCGATTCAAATTAAACCTCGCCATCCCGGGGGGGGGGGCTGCGATCTGTGAAACTGTCGCCACTTTCGAGGCCTGCTGGGAGGTCCAGCACAGTGACGTCCTACGCAGATTCAAATTAAACCTCGCCATTCCTGGGGGGGGACTGCGATTTGTGAAACTGTCGCCACGTTCGAAGCCTGCTGGGGGGTCCAGCACAGTGACGTCTTACACAGATTCCAATGAAACCTCGCCACCCCTGGGGGGCTGCGATCTGTGAAACTGTCGCCACTTTCGACGCCTGATGGGGGGTCCAGCACAGTGACGTCCTACGCAAATTCAAATTAAACCTCGCCACCCCTGGGGGGGGCTGCGATCTGTGAAACTGTCGCCACTTTCGAGGCCTACTGGGGGGTCCAGCACAGTGACGTCCTACGCAGATTCAAATTAAACCTCGCCATCCCTGGGGGGCTGCAATCTGTGAAACTGTCGGGGGTCCAGCACAGTGACGTCCTACGCAGATTCAAATTAAACCTCGCCATCCCTGGGGGGCTGCGATCTGTGAAACTGTCGCCACTTTCGAGGCCTGATGGGGGGTCCAGCATAGTGACGTCTTACGCAGGTTCCAATGAGACCTCGCCATCCCTTGGGGGCTGCGATCTGTGGAACTGTCGCCACTTTCGAGGCCTGCTGGGGGGGGGTCCAGCATAGTGACGTCCTACGCAGATTCCAATGAGACCTCGCCATCCCTGGGGGGCTGCGATCTGTGAAACTGTCGCCACTTTCGAAGCCTGCTGGGGGGTCCAGCACAGTGCATCCTACGCAGATTCAAACGGGACCTCGCCATCCCTGGGGGGGGGCGGCGATCCGTGAAACTGTCGCCACTTTCGAGGGGGGCCCCGCGGCGGACTCAAATGGGAACTCCCAAATGCTGGTCGCAGAAATACATACGTCCATGTCTCGCCATCACCCCCTTATGAAGTCGCCCAAGCTACTCATGCCCCTCATTGCGCAGGGGTTGGGTACGTCGTCAGGGTACTTCAATGGCCGCGTCGGATTCGTAATATGAAGTGCGGGGGGCCCATAGGGAAGGGGATCCCGCTCGAGACTTCCTCGCGATTCACTCACACACGAGGCTCCGGCTCGATTGCCTGCGTGCGTAAGCGGTGAGATGAGAATGACGATGATGAGGATAGCGAGGCACGAACCACACTTAGGATGTAGGGAAACACAACATCTCCCGGTGCCGGACACAGGCCCAACAGAACCCGAAGATGGCGACGGACCTGCTCCTCGAGCGTCGGACCTGCAACCGCTGGCCCGGGATCGCCTCGGGCAGCACTCCCATCAGACAAAGCTAGGACTGGGACGAAAGCGGACAGGGACAAATCGGGGATCTCTGCATGAACGTTCTGCGGCAACTCATGGGAGCCTCCCATACCATCTTGTTGGCGCTGTTGCGAATCGACGCTCATCGACGCGAAATCGTCATTATGTCGACCCTACTCGACGTTAAGTCGAGGCTCACCAATGCTAAGTCGGCGCCATCTCACCAATTTCCAGACGCTAATCGACGCTTCTGCACTTTCTGAACACGGAATGACGGTGGTATACACAGCTCTCATGATTCGCTACCGAAAGAAAATGTTGGTTGACCTGAAAGGGGGTCCAGCTGAAAGGGGGTGGTGCAATAAGTTTGGGGCAATTGTATTGCATGTGTCTTGCGCCAGAGAATTGGGTTGCTTTCCACTGCATCGAATGTGTTGCACGCGAAAACCCAGCAATACACTTGCGCACGGGAATGTATGGTACGCCCAAAATCTGCTGCAACCCCACAAATCTACTCCAAATCCCTTACTACTCGCCCCCTGGGTTCAATTTTTTAAGGCGCCTTTTTTGTAACTGGGGGGGTCCGGTTAATTAGGGCGCATTCTTTGGATTGGAGCTTAGGGGGTCCGGTTTATCAAGGCGCCCCGTCGAAGAGGGGGGGCCGAAATATTAGGTCGCATTTGGAGGAGGGTCTGGTTTTTCAGGGGGGGGCCGATTAATAAGGGATTTGGAGTATGGCACCAAATCTGTTGCACCACCCCCTTGTCGCTGGACCCCCTCTTGGGTCAACCAGAAGAATGTATCGAGCGCAACGACCCACGGCGCCAAGTGGTGTTCAGCCGCCCCGCAGCCCGCCGCCCCGCGCGCTCAGGGGCGGGAGCTAGGGGAACAAAAAGTGGCATAAACATAAAAACTCGGAGGTCCGCGCGAATCAATTTCTCGGAACGGCGCTCGGGCCCCCTCCCTGGCGCGCGGAGCGCGCCAAGGGCGGCACCGGAGGCGCCGCCAGGGGGCCCGAGCGCCGATCCGAGAAATCCGCGCGGACCTCCGAGTTTTTCTGTTCATGCCATTCTTCGTCTCCCGAGGAGTGCAGGGCGGGAGGGAGGACGAGGCGCGCAACCAGGAGCGCACGTCCCCGGCCTCTCACGAGCGCTCCGGGGCGCACGTCCACGGCCTCAAGGTCCGGACCCCCCGGCCGCGGCCCCCCACCGCCATCTGGCGCAGGGGGCGGGGCCTGCGGGCGCCCGGCGCGGCTGCGAGAACTCCGCGCGGAGCTCCACAGAGGTACGGTCATGCCGGTTTTGTTCCCTCTTCGATGGTTCGCGTCGCGAGGCCGCGGGCGTGGGTCTCCGACGCCGCGTGGAGCGTTCCACTCTGAAGGATCGCGACCGCGGCTTTCCGACAGCGGGGATCGCGCGACCTCGGCCAACTCTGGGCCACCAGCGGCGGTGAATCCCGAGCGCCCGCGCCGGGGCCGCTGCCGCATCAGCGCGGCGCAGGCCTGCCGAAAAATTCGTGTTTGGGGGAATCGAACCTGCCTGACGGGGCCGTGAGAAATAGCCAGCCTCGAACTTGTCCCTATCCCTAGAATGGGCGAGCAAAAAGCGAGGACAAGCTTAGGGATGTGCTCGCAGAAACTAACGGACCCTTAAGATCTGCATCGAGGTGAGGTGATGCCAAACATAGGGATCTGTTTCAAACTGGTAAAGAAAAGTGGCGGGACGTGGTCCGAAATTTGACGCGAGCTCCCGCTGCAAAAACATATCACGGAAGACTGGACCGTCAAAGCGAATGCCAGGACCGTCAAGAAGCGGTAGCCAACCCGAGTTGTGGCAAACTCGAGTCGTACGCTTCCCCGAGTGGACATCGACATGGTTACGTCGATCGTGACGGCCACTCCTGCCTGGCCCTGCGCAAAGAGAGGTCCAGCCAATTCGGGCCCGTCAGGGTACAGAAAAGCGGGTACGATGATCAACGGCAATGATGCTGTCAAAACCGACAGCAGACGCCGTTGGGCAGGCGACCATCTGCTGACCTCAAATGGGCCACACCCCTGTGGCCACAACCGACATCTGGTCCTGTTCAACATGGGACAGGAACTGCTCTGCCGGGTGCGACCTAACCCACCCCTAGCAAACCATCCCTTCCGCGACATCATCTTCGCCTTTCGAGCTCCCCTCCGCCCGCATACATACGTCTTGGGGCCAGGCGAGGGGGACGTCACAGAAGGGGGTGGACTGCTAGGGGTCGGTGAGGCCGCCCCTGACTCTCGGTCGTCGTCCCTACGATTTCCGTTCGAACCCCGCGACGTCATGGCTCTGCGAGGCGGGGATCGCTCCGCATCCACCGCCCAGGGAGCCAACAACACCATGGGACCCCAACGGAGGGGGCGGTGGATCCGAACAGTATTGGACAGCCCACCACCTCCCGAGGTCCAGGAAGATCGGATTCATAGGCGGTGGGCACCCGGGCAAATCCCCGCCTCAGAGGCCCGTCGCCGGTGACTGCCGCCCTGGCCCGGTCGCGCGCGCAGGGCGTCCAGCCGATTCGGGTCGGACAGCTCAGTCCTGGGCGAGGTTTGCCGGAAGGGAGGGGGCGGGGCGGCGGTCGGATGTCCTCCAACCCTTCCTCCTCTCCCCTGCTCTCTTCGACCTGCCCGCTCCAATTTCCAACCTCCTCCTCCTGCTTCTCCTCCTCCTCCTCCTTCTCCTCCTCCTCCTCCGTCTCCAACTCCTCCTCCTCCTCCTCCTCCTCCTCCTCCTCCACCTCTCCTCCTCCTCCTCCTCCCCTCTCCTCCTCCTCCGTCCTCCACTTCTTTTCTCCATCTCCATCACCTCCTCCTCCTCCTCCTCCTCCTCCTCCTCCTCCTCCTCTCGTTCAACCTCATCCTCCTTCCTCCTCCAGCACTCCTCCTCCACCTCCTTCCTTCCTCCTCCTCCTCCTCCCTCCGCCTCCTCCTCCTCCGTGGCACTTCCTCAGACTGGTTCCGTCTCCGCCTCTCTTCCTCCTCCACCTTGCTTCCCCACTCCTCCTCCTCCTCCTCCTCCTCCTCCTCCTCCTCCTCCTCCTCCTGCTCCTTCCTCTCCTCCTCCTCCTCCCTCCTCCGCCTCCTCGCTCTCCTCCTCCTCCCCCTCTTCCTTCTCCTCCTCCGCCTCATCCTTCTCCTCCCTCCTCATCCTTCTCCTCCTTCTCCTCCTCCTCCTCCTCGTCCTCCTCCTCCTACCTCCTGCTCCCTGCCCCTCGTCTTCCCCCTCCTCACCGGCATCGTCATCATCCTTCTCGCCATTCAACATCATCATCATCATCACCATCATCATCATCATCATCATCATCATCATCATCAGCATCATCATCACCACCACCACCATCGTCATCATCATCATCATCATCATCATCATCATCATCATCATCATCATCATCATCATCATCATCATCATCATCATCATCATCATCATCATCATCATCATCATCATCATAATCTTCATCATAATCATCATCATCATCATCATCATCATCATCATCATCATCATCATCATCATCATCATCATCATCATCATCATCATCATCATCATCATCATCATCATCATCATCATCATCATCATCATCGTCGTAATCAGCATCATTATCATCATCAGCAGCAGCAGCATCGTCATCGTCATGATGATGATCAGCATCATCATCATCATCATCATCATCATCATCATCATTCATCATCATCGTAATCAATCATCATCATCATCATCATCATCATCATCATCATCATCATCGGCATCATCGACATCAGCATCATCAACATCATAATCATAATCAGAATCGTCATCATCTGCAGCAGCAGCATCATCAGCATCAGCAGCATCATCATCAGCAGCAGCATCATCCTCGTCACCATCATCATCATCATCAGCAGCAGCAGCATCATCAGCATCAGCATCAGCATCAGCATCAGCATCAGCATCATCATCATCATCATCGGCATCAGCATCATCAACATCATAATCATCATAATCAGCATCGTCATAATCTGCAGCAGCATCAGCATCAACAACATCATCATCAGCAGCAGAACCATCCTCATCACCATCATCATCATCATCATCAGCAGCATCATCAGCAGCATCATCATCATCATCATCATCATATGCAGCATCATCATCATCATCATCAGCAGCAGCATCATCATCACTGCCATCATCATCATCAGCAGCATCCGCCTCATCATCAGCAGCAGAAGCATCATCAGCAGCATCAGCATCAGCATCAGCATCATCAGTATCAGCATCAGCATCAGCAGCATAATCATCACTAAAATCATCGCCAGCATCCTCATCAGCAGCACCATGACCAGCTCTATCAGCTCAACGTCCTTAGCATCATCATCATCATCATCATCATCATCAGCAGCATCATCATGATCATCATCATCATCATCATCATCATCATCATCATCATCATCATCATAAGCAGCATCACCAGCATCACTAGTATCGTCATCAGAGTCCTCGTCATCAACATCATCAGCCGCATCATCATCAGCATCAGCATCAACATCATCATCGTTTCAACATCATCATCACCATAAGCATCATCACCATCAGCAGCATCACCATCATCACAACCAGGATCAGATTCGGAGTCATCGGCATCGTCATACTCACGTCATCGTCATCACCCGCATCCTCATCCTCAGCATCATCACCACAACTTTCATCATCAGCATCATCGTCGTCGTTGTCGCCGTCAGAAGCATCATCATCCTCATCCTCATCCTCGTACCCATCATCATCCTCATCCCTCCCCGTATGCCTCTCTCCTCTTCCCTAGTCCTCGTACTCCTCCTCCTCCTCCTCCTCCCCCTCCTCCTGCTCCTCCTCCTCCTCCTCCTCCTCCTCCGCCTAGGCCTCCTCCGCCTAGGCCTCCTCCTAATCCACATTGTCTTCCTGCTTCTCCTCCTCTCCAATCATCCTCATCATCCTTCTTGTCGTCATCAGCACCATCAGCAGCAGCATCATCAGCATCATCATCATCGGCAGCAGCATCAGCATCAGCATTAGCCTCATCATCAACATCAGCATCATCATCAGTTGCATCATCACCATCATCATCATCATCATCATCATCATCATCATCATCATCATCATCATCATCAGCATCATCATCATCAGCATCAGCATCATCATCATCATCAGCATCATCATCATCAGCATCATCATCATCATCATCAGCATCATCATCATCATCATCATCATCGACAACAGCATCAGCATCATCATCATCAGCAGCATCATCATAAGCATCATCATCATGATCATCAGCATCAGCATCAGCATCAGCAGCAGCTTCAGCCTCAGCATCAGCATCATCAGCATCAGCAGCAGCAGCAACAGCAGCATCATGATAAGCAGCATCAACATCAGCAGCATCAGCAGCAGCAGCATCATCATCAGCAGCAGCACCATCAGCAGCATCATCATCAGCCGGATCAGCATCATCAGCATCATCAGCGTCAGCAGCATCATCATCATCAGCAGCAGCAGCAGTATCATACTTCAAGCATCATCGTCAGCAGCATCAGCATCGACATCATCGTCATCATCGGCATCAGCAGCATCACCAGCATCTTCAGCATCGGCATCATGTTCAGCAGCATCATCATCAGCATCGTCATAATCATCATCATGCATCATCGTCAGCAGCATCATCAGCATCAACATCATCACCATCATCATCATTAGCGACAGCAGCGGCATCATCGTCATCGTCATCGTCATCGGTATCATCAGTACCAGCATCATCATCATCATCATCATCAGCAGCAACAACATCAGCATCATGATCAGCAGCATCATCATCAGAAGCATCATCATCAACATCATCAGCATCATCAGCAGCAGCGGCATCATCAACATCATCATCAGGAGCAGCAGCATCATTATCACTATCATCAACATCATTATCAACAGCAGCAGCGGCACCAGCATCAGCGTCAGCAATCAGCTTCAGCCTGATCATCATCGTCATCATCATCAACATCATCAGCATCACCAGCATCATCAGCATCATCAGCATCATCAGCATCAACATCAGCAGCAGCATCATCATCGGCATCATCATCATCATCATCAGCAGCATCATCATCATCATCATCATCATCATCAGCAGCAGCAGCAGCATGATCATCAGCAGCTTCGTCAGCAGCATCATCATCAGCATCATCGTCATCAGCGGCAGCAGCATCATCCTCGTCATCGGCATCGTCATCCTTCACCAGCTCCCCCCCTGGCCTGCTCCCGCCCCCCGCCGCACCTCCGTCATTCCTCTCCCCACCTCCTCCCCCGTCTCCTCCTCTTCCTCCTCCTCCTCCTCCTCCTCCTCCTCCTCCTCCTCCTCCTCCTCCTCCTCCTCCTCCTCCTCCTCCCCACTCCCCGTCCCCCTCATCCTCCCAGGGGTGCACGTGAGGACAGGATGGCGACGACGAAGAGGAAGACGACATCGACGACGACGACAACGACAGCGGTGAAGCGCGCGCGAACAGGTGGCTTCGAGGCACGACAACGTCGTCGTCGCAGAAAGGGAGGAAGAAAGGAGGACGAGGAGAAGGAGAGTAGGGAGTCTTGGGCTGGTGGGGGATCGTACCCCCCCCTCCCCCCCTTGACTGGGGGGGAGGTAACGACACCCCCCAGCACAAGCGCACGGGAGCGACGAAAACAAAAAGAGGCGGGTCTTGCGCGAGAAGACATTCGACTCTGCGCGGTGGCGCACGCGGGCCGCCAGCGCGACGCGCTACAATTGGAAACGGCGGCGCCCATGCGCGATCCTACGCGAGAAGGCCACGCGCGAGCGTCCGCGCAGTCGACCCCCGTTCTCCTGCGTCGCCCGCGTGAGAGGTGCCCCGTCAGACCTCACCGCACGGGCGCCTCCGCAGGGCAGGAGGGGGGGGGGGGCGGTGGCGGCTCCCCGCGGGCGCCTGCCCCCTCCGCTGCGGGCAGCAGCCCCCCCCCCCTTCTCCGAGGCGAGAGGCCCAGAGCTCAGCTTGGAAAGGAACCGCCCCCCCCTCGCCTGAGGGGGAACGATCGAGAGGGGGCACTGGCTCGGGGGGGGGGGGCATCGAGCTCGAATCGTCGACACCTCGCCGATGGATCGGCGACAGGCCCGAACAGCGACACCGCGCGTTCTGGGGAGGGGTGAGCCATCGCGCCCCCTGCCGGCGACGAATGGGCGACTGGGGGTCGATCCACTCCCCACTGACCTCTTATTCCCCCCTTCTGGGGTAACCAACGGGTACCGATCTCATATCGCTACTCCCTGGACATATCCCAGGGTGCGTTCTGACAATGATTTCGAGACGAATACAGCCGTGGCGTCGAGGGACACCCCAGGACCCAAGAAGGCGAAAACGAGGGAGGGCCAGCGGTATCGGTACCGCTTCCGCCTCTGTCTATCGTTGTCCCTGATCATTCTAGCTGCGAAGAAGTGCCACGGCGTGGGACCGCAGAACGCAGCTCGACTGCTTGACGCGCCCACAATGGGTAATGAGCACGATGCCCAACTGCAGGGTCCAAAATCAGCAGCGGCGGCTGTTGGGCAGGCGATTATGTGTCTCAAAGGGGCAACGTCCGCGGCGACCCCGACAGCGATTCGTTCCCATACAGTGGGTTCGTGCCGTGTCGATCCCGGCGTTGATTCCTGACACCGCGGGGATCGTTCCACCTTGCACGATCGGCCGTTTTCGAAACGTCAGTCGTTCACCATCGCCCGATTCTGGGTCGCCGGCAGCGTTCAACGTTGAACGCCGGCGGCGGGGTCGCCGCCGGTCGACACGACGCGAACCTAGCGGGCGCGGCCCAACACCGACCCCTGGCAAACTATCCCCTTCCGTGACATCACCCTCGCCTCTCAAGTTTCCCTGCAGCCGCACAAGAATGTCTTGGGGCGAGGCGAGGGGGACGTCACGGAAGAGGATGCTTTGCTACAGTGCGGGCGCGGTCGCAAGAAACCCTCGCAAGAAACCCAACGCTGAACACCCGCGCGCGAGGTGCAACGGAGGGGAAACTCGGAGCACCCCGAACGCAGCGGCTCCTCCAGCGGCCGCGGGAAGTCACCGCGCAGCGCGCGGAGCGAAGAAACCAAGGGCACCCTGACGAAAAGTATATGGTTTCTTGATGCGCGCCCCCAGCTGTACAGTCGGGCTTGATTGGAGAGGACACGCGAGAGGACACAAGACCCTTCCGAGGGCCACGTTTCGCCACAGGAATGGACGAAGCATGGGTCGCGAGACACAGGACACAAGAGTACCCCTGATCTGGCAGGGTCGACCTGCTAATCCGGGCCGCCTGTAGGGGTCGGTGCAGGCCGCCCCCGCACCTGCCGCACCTGCGCAGCCCGGCAGCGCCGAGCCGCAGGGCGAGAGAGCCCCGCCCTGCCCGGCGGCCGCCGCCGGCGGGCCACAGGCCGCGCGGCGGGCTCTCCAGACGCCGCCCAGGGCCCAGACGACGACGCCGGCGATGACGGCGTCGGGCCGCGAGGCCACGAGCTGGTAGAAAACGACAGCCTCGCGCGCGCCTCACCGCCACCTCAATACTCGTCCTCCTCCTCCTCCTCCTCCTCCTCCTCCTCCTCCTCCTCCTCCTCCTCCTCCTCCTCCTCCTCCTCCGCGTTAGGACTGTCAGGACGCAACTGTAAGTTGATTCGCGGTGTTCAAGTCCCAAGGGTGGTGTTCTGGCACGATTTAGGCGGCGTTGAAATCCAAGGAACGGCTCCCAGCTTTGGGCTCGGGGGAGGAGGAGGGGGAGGAGGGGGAGGAGCAGGAGGAGAAGGAGGAGGAGGAGGAGGAGCCGGGGCTTCCTCTGGGACGGGCTCTGCATCCTGTGCCACTGTTCCCATAAAAACGCTTGCACTTAGGGGTTCCATTGTGTTCCACGGTAACTGGGCCCTGGCAGCGGCCAGGCCGACTCATCGCCGCCCGTCGCCGCCCGTCGCCGCTGGGCCCAACTGGTGGTCTGGCCGGATCGTCGCCACCCGTCGCCGCGTTGCTTTGTATTGCGCTGCATTGCTTCGCATTGCTTCGCATTGCTTTACACTGCTTTGCACTGTTCTACATTGCGTTGCGGTGCTCTGCACTGCCTTGCACAGCTTCGCATTGCTTTGCACTGCGCCGCACTGCTCCGCGCCGCTTTTTGCCCTGCGTTGCGCTGCTCTGCGATGCTCTGCGCCGCGTGGCCTGCGCCACCCGGAGTGCACCACCCGGATGGCAGCGCACAGACTGCAAGAGACCACTGCTTGACAGGTGCCCGGGCCCGCGGAGGGCCACGGGCGCCCGAGAACGGCGGGGGGCCCTGCGGGACCCCTCCCCTGCAGGACCCGTTCGCCCCCTGCTGCCGAGGTCCCCCGCTCGGGGATGCTGAGCGCCACGGTGACTGGACCAGAGAGGACCAACGGCACCACCCCACCCACGACCCAAGGGGGGGCTTCGCGCAGACCAGGATATCTGGCGTGGGCTTTTGCGTGGTACAGTGGGAGCTCGACCACAAGAAACCTTAACCCTGAGACCCCAGGACGCACATCGAGTCTTGGTGTGGGAACGTCACGCTCTCCAGAGCAGACCCATCGAAACCCAAGAAACCCAGGACACCCTGGAGGCAAGCAGGGTGTTTCTTGGCAGGGGTCCCCACTGCATACGCAACGGCGCCCGGTGGGCCGTAGCGCAACATGGAGGCCGTAGGTGTGGTGGTTTCCTATGATGTTTGGTCGAGTAACGAACGGGTGGTCCAGCCAGGCTGCTACCGCGAGGAACGCTCAGTTAGCAGCCCATCCCTCTCCTGGCCCCCAAAGTTAGGTCGGGCATTTCCTCCTACAGGCCAGACTTTCGACGAACCATAAAAACAACTCAAAAACTACTCCAAAAAGAAAAAATAGTCCAAAAATCGTCCACCCAAAATTGTTTGACTATTCTCTTGAGTAGTCCCCCCGCGGAGGGACAGGCCCGACTCAACCCCAGAGCGCCACGAGGAGCGCCGGGGGAGCGATGGTGTGAGGACCCGATGAACAGCGAGGCCCCTCCGAACCCGACCTGCTCCTCTCGGCGGCGAGCAAGGGTCGGGGGCGCGCAAACATGGATTACAGTCGGCCTTGATTGGACAGGACATGCGAGAGGACACAAGACCCTTCCGAGGGCCACATCGCCATAGGAGTGAAAGAAGGCACGTGTCGCGAGGCATAGGACACAAGGGTACCGTTGAGCTGGCAGGGTCGACCTACTAATCTGGGCCGACTGTAGCGATCCATGGATTTGGCGCGCGGTCGCCAAATCCATGGATCGGGGAAGGTGCCCTCCCCGAAATGCGGCCGGTGCCGCCTCGCTCGGCGGCGGGAATCCGCGATGTCCCATGAAAACCGGACCCCTCGCCAATCCAAGCCCCTTGATCCACGTTTGCGATCGCCAGAGAGGGGGGGGGAAGTGAGCAGGAGAAGGCCTTCTCAGAAGGCGGCGGGGCTTCGCAGAAGCGTTCTGGTCTTCTGAGATGTCGTTGGTGTCTTCGGGGGGAGGCTCAGACAACTCCTCAGAAGGCCAGGGGACTTCCGAGCCTTCTGAGAATGCCCGCCCCTTCTCACTTCCCCCCTGGGTTCGCCACAGATCATCACTGCAGCGTCTTGACTGTGCCCAGCGGGCCCCCAGCACAGATGCGGGATCATCATCATCATCATCATCATCATCATCATCATCATCATCATCAGCATCATCATCATCATCATCATCATCATCATCATCATCATCATCATCGTCATCATCATCATCATGATCATCATCATCAGCAGCAGCATCAGCATCATCATCATCAACATCATCATCAGCATCATCATCATCGTCATCATCATCAGCAGCATCAGCATCATCATTATCATCATCATCATCAGCAGCATCATCAGCATCATCATCATCGTCATCATCATCATAATCGTCATGATGACCATCATCATCATCACCATCATCATCAATATCATCATCCGCATCATCATCATCATCATCATCATCATCATCATCATCATCATCATCATCATCATCATCATCATCATCGTCATCACCATCATCGTCATCATCATCATCATCAGCAGCAGCAGCAGCAGGCATCATCACAGCAGCATCATCATCGTCATCACCATCATCAGCGTCATCATCATCATCGCCATCAACATCGTCGTCAGCATAGTCCACATCATCAGCAGAATAAGCATCATCAGCATCAGCTTCTTCTTCTTCGTCATCAGCATCATCAGAAATGTCAACATCATCAACATCATCACTAGCAGAATCATCATCATCAGCATCATCATCGTAGTCATCAGCATGATCATCACCAGCAGCAGCAGCATCAGCAACAGCAGTATCATAATCAGCAGCAGCATCATCAGCAGCAGCCTCATCACCAGCTTCATCATCATCAGCAGCATTAGCACCATGATCACAATCATCATCATCATCATCATCATCATCATCATCATCAGCATCATCATCATCAGCATCATCATTATACCATCATCATCACCATGATCATCATCATCATCAGCATCATCAGCAGCAGCATCATCCGCAGCAGCATCAGCATCAGCATCTGCCTCAGCATCTGCATCAGCATCAGCTTCATCATCATCGAATCGGGAAGTCGGATCGGATCGGAATGTTCGCTGGATCGAGCCGAATCGGCACGGAGTCGAAGCGGACCGGCCGCGCCAGGATGCACAGCGGCGCCACTGCGAGCATCGGGCCGCATCGGACCGTCGCACGTCTCTGGATGCCCGAAGTGGGTACGGAAAAAAATGGGTACAATGCCCAACAACAAATATTGTTCCAAACCAACAGCGGCCGCTGTTGGGCAGGCGGCCTTCTGTCTCAGATGGACACAGGCCGCGGCGGCGCGGACAGCGAGTCCTGTCCAAAACGAACCGGAACTGCTGTTGGGTATTGTACCCACTCTTTCCGTGCCCACTTCGTTCGTGCAGAACGTCGCAATCGAATCGGATCGGGCCGGGCCGCGCCCGACATCGGATCGAAACGGACCCCGAGAAGTGGCGCTTCCCGGCCCCGCCGCCACGCGAGGGGTCGGCAGCCCTGCCGCCGCCCCCCCCCCGCGCGAGCTGGTGGCGCCTCCCCTCTCCACGCCAGGGTTGGGTCGGGCATGTCCTCCTACGGGCAGATTTTGGACGGAAAGAAGACAATACTCAAAAAAACATCTTTCAACAAAAAAAAAGATAAACAAAAAAAAAAAAAAAAAAAAAAAAAAAAAAAAACGTCCCCAGACTATGATTTGACTATTTTCGACGATTCCTCCTGCAGAGGGACATACCCGACTTCACGCAAGGGGCACCCTCCCCAGCCCTGCTTGGCTCGGGGAGGCGCCGTGGACCTCCTCGCTGGAGGCGGCGTCCCCAGTGGCGGTGGTGTCGCCCTCCTCTCCCGCGAGCCTCCCCGCCCAGAGCTTTGGCCCTGCCGCCCTCCCCCCTGGGGCAGCCCGCAGACACCGATGCCGCCGCTCCGCGGACCCCTCCCCATCCCCGGACTTGCGCGGCGAATCCAGCCGTGGCGACGAGGGCCTGGCCCAAGGAGGCGGCACGGAGGCGAGGATCACGGTGTGGATGCTGCCTCCTCGGGGCTCCACACCGACCGGGCGGCGACACCTCGGCATCCCCAACGACCCCACCACACGGTCCGTCACCGCACAGAGACCTTGGGGGCCCCCATTGCCCGAGACGACCCTGGGAGAACGGCCCGAGTCCCAAAACCGTGCAGCGACCCCGAGTCCCAACTGACTCACCACACGGTGCGGCCACTGTGGTCGCCACACCGTTTGGGAGCCCCCGAACCGTTTCCTCCTTTGACCCCCAACCCCGACGCGAGCCCGCGACGCGCGCGCGGGCCACCGACAGGGTGCAGGCCAGCGTCGCGTAGGCCAGCGCCTCCCAGCCAGCGGCGCACCCTTTTCCCAAATCCGGCGTCTTCTTCGAGACTCGGGGCCCCGACTTCTCGACCGACTTCCCCAGGGCTGGCTCTGATCCCGAGTCGTTGTTTGACGGCCCCGAGACCATGCAAGAGCCCCGAGAGACCGAAAACTAAGAAAAACTGATGCCTTGATGTTTTCGAGACGAAGGATGTATGCGGTCGTCCGATCCGAACCACCGTTCGGCTACCCGCAAGAGTGACCCTAGGCAAGAGTGACCTTGGGTGCGCGGCGTTACGAGGGGAGGGAGGGGGCCAAACCCACGCGCGCATCTTTGGCGGCGCGCACAAGGGGGTAGCACAAGGGGGTAGGGGGAAAGGGAAAGCTTCTTGGAAGGAGGCTGCCTCTCAAAGGCGCCGGCCTTACACCTATAGCCTATAGATCAGGCCCGCGCCCGTCCGCGCCCAAGTCGGCGATGTTTCCCGTGCGGCCCCCGACCAAACGGACCAGTCGACTGCACCGTCCCCCGCCCGCTTCCGAGCTCCAATGACTTGTTGTTCCCTGGGCGTGGGACGCACAGTGGCAAGTGGGGCCAGAGAGGAGGAGGAGGAGGAAGAGGAGGAGGAGGAGAGGTGAGCAATAGTTCCTGGACAGAGACACGAGATGGCAAGTGTCCGCGTGACAAGATGCACGAGTCCCCAAACCTACACGCTACACTCCCACTAGAAGTCTACGTAGCGTAGTCCGCACGCGTGCGCGCGCCAGCGCACTTCTGTAAGAAACATCGCGCGCAAAAGAGGTCGACCGAATTGATGTCCGTCTTTCTTTGTCATTGGCAACAATACCTAGCATGGCCTAGACGCCACCGTTCAAACTCGTGTGCTACCCTCTCCATAGCCCGATATGGTATAATAATTTGTACCAGTCATTCGCACTGCCGCCTCCACCAAATTCGCGTCCCATCTGCTAACCGCACGTTGACCGAATCCGTTCTCTCTCTCTCTCTCTCTTGTTCTCGCTTTCTCTCTCTCTCTCTCTCTCTCTCTTGCCCTACATATACATACATATATATATGTGTGTACACATATATATGTAGTATTGGGGTGTGTCTCTCTCTCTCTCTATCCCTCTCTCCCGCCACCCGAACCAGCAGCGTATCCGACGGCAGAAGCATCATGCTGGCCACCACGTTCAGATTCTGGCCGCCTTGGTGCCCAGCGGCACGCGCAAGAACATGAGGGGGAGGAGGAGGAACAGGACAAGGGGAGGAGGATAGCAGCGGTACCGACGCGGAGCACGACGGCGGCACGGGCGAGTACGCCGACGGAGAGGAGCTCTGGAAGGGGCGAAGAGGATGAGCAGGCGGGGGCCAGCGCGGGAGGGAGGAGCACGAGGACGAGAAGGAGGGAGGAGCAGGCGCAGCAGAAAGACGGGGAGAAGCAGCAGGGTGCAGGAGGCAGGCGCAGGGTGGAGCGAGAGGGCGAGGACGAATGGCGAGGTGGCACGAGTGGCCGGAGCCGTCCCAGGGCGGCAACCACACGCTCAGGGACAGAACCTCGACCCCCCCCCACAGTCCAGGCGCAGGATAAGGACGCACGGTGAGGAGGCCTTGGGAGAGGGTCAGGACCCTCCTCCTCCTCCTCCCTCCTCCTCCTCCTCCTCCTCCTCCTCCTCCTCCTCGTCCTCCTCCCTCTTCTTCTAAGTATTAGTTTTGGTATCCTTCGTCTTTTTGTGCGTCTTATTATTATGTTTGATCGCTAGTATTATTAATATTCTAAGTTACCCTTCGTATTCGCCTTAAGCTTCTTCTAGTTTGTATTAGTAATAATATGTTTGCTATTGTGATGTTTTTCTCCTTGTTCTTATCACCATTCTTACTCCACCGGGATCATGTCCTGCGCTCCTCCTACTTCCTCCTCCTCCTCCTCCTCCTCCTCCTCCTCCTCCTCCTCCTCCTCCTCCTCCTCCTCCTCCTCCTCCCTCCTCCTCCTCCTACCTCCTCCTCCTCGTCCTCCCCCTCCTCGTCCTCCTCCTCCTCCTCCTCCTCCTCCTCCCCCTCCTCCTCCTTTTCCTCCTCCTCACCCTCCATTTGATATGAATTCCATGGCTTCAGAGTTGTGCAGCAGCTACACGGGTGATGGGCGGTTCCTTTTCTAAGTGGGGCTGTCGTTGTGTACTTCCTTGAAAGTCTGGCGGCTGGAAGCATGGAGGGAGAGTAAGTCGGATGAGGACGTGGGAGGAAGGGGGAGAAGGGAGCAGAAAAGAATGGGGAGAGAAGGGCGTTAAGGGAAGAGGGAAGAAAGAGGAGAACACTATCCCCATCTCCCCTCCCTCTCAACCGCCCTCCTCCGCCCTCCCTCCCTCGACCCCTCATCCCCCCTTCCCCCCGTTCCCTCCCTCCTTCCCCTCACTCCTCCCCCCCCCATTCTCGACTTTGCCCCACCCGCTTTTCCCCGTCCCCCACCTCCCTCGACCCCAGACCTCCTGGGGTGGGCCAACAGGTACCTGTAGCGCTACTCCCCGGACCTCTCCCGGGATGCGTCCTGACCAGGCTCTCGACATTCGAAGAGAAATCCAGCCGCGGCGACGAGGGAAACGTAGCGGCATCGGTAACGTACCCTCTGCGAAAAGAAGAAAAGACGCAATAAACATTAAACTGTTGGCGCTCCGCGCGGATTTCTTGGATCTGCGCTGACCCCCCCCCCCCCCGGCGCACGGAGCGCGCCAGGGCGGCGCCGGAGGCGCCGCCGCGGGGGCCCGCGCGGATCCAAGAAATCCGCGCGGAGCGCCAAAAGTTTATGTCTATGGCGTTTCTTCTTCTTCTTCTTCTTCTTCTTCTTCTTCTTCTTCTTCTTCGATCTCCTCCTCTGACCTCCCTCGCGCCCTCTCCCTCCCTCCCTTCGCCCCCTCGTCAGGGAGGCCGGCCCACGGCCGCCCGCGCGCGCGCCGGGTGCGCGGTGCGCGCCCCTTCCCCCCCCCCCGTTGCTGGGGAGGCGCGCAGAGCACGACAGCCCAGCCCGCGTGCACGGAGAACGGCACGCGCAGCAGCCAGAACTCCGCCGGGGTCATGTCCTGCGCTCCTCCTGCGCTCCTCCTCCTCCTCCTCCTCCTCCTCCTCCTCCTCCTCCTCCTCCTCCTCCTCCTCCTCCTCTCCTCCTCCTCTTCTCCTCCTCCTCTGCTCCTCCTCCCTCCTCCTCCTCCTCCTCCTCCTCCTCCTCCTCCTCCTCCTCCTCCTCCTCCTCCTCCTCCTCCCCCTCTTTCTCCTCCTCCTCCTCCTCCTCCTCCTCCTCCTCCTCCTCCTCCTCTTCTAATCAATATTGCTGTTCTCACTCGTCGTATAATTCGTCCTCATACTACTACTGCTCAGTATGTTCATTTTCTTATTATGAGTATGATTATGAGCATCATGATTCGTAGTAGTGGTACTATTCGTGTTCGCCTTATGCGCATTATAACAATATTAGTCGTGATAATATTGTTTTTGAATTCTGATTCGTACGAGTATTACCTTCATCCGTATTAGCATGATCAGTATTATTATTGTCTTACTGTTCGTGCTATCCACCGTCTGATTATTAATATCCTTCCTACACGCTCATTAATATGATTCGCTTGATTCGTACTCTAAGTATTACTAGTATCATTCGAAAATTTGCTAATACATTGGTAGAAAATATTGCAACTTGAAATAGTATTTCTTGTTGGTATGATTATGCCTCGGAATGATGTGTTTATTGATATGGTTCGCATTGTCAGCATTTGAAGGATGATTGCGATCCTTCAGATTAACATCGTCAGCCTTGTGCATACTATGAATCGTATGTTCCGTTTCAGCAACATCATCAGCATCAGCATCATCACATCATGATTGTTATTATCAGCGTCATCATCAGCATCGTCATCAGCATCATCATCACCATCACCATCACCATCACCATCACCATCACCATCATAAGCATCATCATCGTCATCATCATCACCATCATCATCATCATCATCAGCAGCATCAGCATCATCAGCGTCATCATCATCAGCATCATCATCATCAGCATCATCATCATCATCATCATCATCTGCATCAGCATCATCATCGTCGCAGCATCATCATCTTGGTCACCAGATGCACCATCATCATCAGCAGCAGCGTCATAGTCATCATCCTCCGTAGAATCGTCATCAGCTTGATCATCATCATCATCATCATCATCATCATCATCATCATCAGCATCATCATCATCATCCTCATCCTCATCCTCATCCTCATCATCATCGCCAACATCGTCATAATCACAACCATCACCACCACCAGTAGCATCATCCTCCCCTTCATCATCATAATGAGCATACTCATTATCATCGTCATCAGCGTAATCATCAGCAGCAGCAGCATCATCAACAGCAGCATTAGCATCATCTTCATAATCATCATCATCATCAACATCATCATCATCATCATCATCATCATCATCATCATCATCATCATCATCATCATCATTAGCAGCAGCATCATCATAAGCATCGTCAGCAGCAGCATCATCATCAGCCTCAACATCAGCAGCAGCAGCAGCAGCAACATCATCATCATCGTCATCACCGTCACAACCACGGTCACGACAACCATCATCAGAGTCAGCATCACCACCATCAGACACATCAACATCAACATCAACATCAGCATCAACATCACCATCAACATCAATATCGCCATCATAAACATCAACAACCAAGGTCGCCGACGTTGTCATCATAAGGAATATCCATCACCGACGGCAACATCATCACCACCACATGCTTCATCTGCATCGTCATCTCCATCTGCCAGCTCTCCCGCCCCGTCCCCCTCCCCCTCCGCCCTCCTCGCCCTGCGCATCCTCCACTTAAACCGCCCCTCCGTCCTCACCCTCCACCCATATAGGCAATGCCCGCACCACCCTGAGCTCAATAACCAACACCTCCAGCGGACGGGCCTCCGCCTGGCATCATACACGTAAGCCAAGGACACGGTTCCAGAAATGCTTCCAAAAGAACCTTCTGTGTGGCCTGGCCGACGGTTGTAGGGGGTCTTCATGGTGCGGCCAATGACTGCGCCGCACCAGAAACGCCGTTGGAAAGTTCACCGAGCTCACGCTGCCAAAGATTTGTAGTATGGTTGTACCACTTTTACCAAGCACGGCCGACATACATAATCATGCGTCCTCTGTGTTCCCATTGCCGAAACGATGGCTATCAGAAAGAATTCGAGGATAAGTGGCATGCTTGGAATGACATTTCACCGTGGTAAGCAAAGACCATCTGAATATATTCCCTGTCGACTCCAGTGATAAGAGTCATCCGCTGGATCAACGCTTGCCCTGCTGGGTGACCTCCACCAGGTAGAGCGACATGAACCGACCAAAGGCTGGTCTGGGTTCCACTGGGCGAGGCGGCCCCAGAACGAATCGCCGCTGACCTGGCGTCATGAAAATTTAACCCGCGCGATGCGGCCGTGGGTGGGGGGTGGGAATTGACAGGTGGTGCAAATTTGCGCCCACATCCGCCTTCGAATGATCCGTGGACTCCGCGGATTGGGGCCATACGTCCGCTCCCAACTAGATTTGATGGTGTTCGTACGGAGTGTACGGCCGAAAAAAATCTCATTCCCCCATGTAAACTCTCGAACCGCTTTGGAAATACGGACGCGCAAGGAGCGACACCCTGTACAAAAAAAGCAAGTGTAAAACGAGGACATCTAGACGGCGCCATTATGGGCGACCAGTGGTATCACCACGTTAGCAAGTATGGTAGCTAGCATCCGGCCGCCCTTCTTGGCCTTCACCTGCTCAAGCAAAGCGGCCATCCTTGGCTCATACGGCGGGGTGTCAGCTGAAGAGGGAGTGGGGTAAGGAGTGGGAAAAGCGGGAGGACTGACGGCTTGCGACTTGCGAAGCGCGGGAGCGCGTCGAAACCAAAGCCAGCTGCGTTGCGACAGACCAGACAAGTCCAAACTTCTGGGGCGGGATGCGGGAGGAAGTCGCGGTGGAGGTGATCCACGGGAGGGCGGAGGAGAAACTGGAAAAGGGACGGAGGAGGACGGCACGCGGAGTGGGAGGGGCAAGATCATTCAACATCGAATCGTGATGTAGAATCGGATCGGAGTGCGCGCCGGGTCGGATTGCATCGGCACGGAATCGGAGTCGAAAGGGATCGGCCGCGACAGGATACACAACAACGCCATGCATCGGGCCGCATCGGATCGCCAGGAAATCGAAATCGAATCGAATCGGACAGGCCGAAATCGATGCCGGGATCGGATCGGCCGAATCGGTACTAAAGAAACCCTGGATGGGGCAG